GCTGGGAGTGCCCGGGCCCCGGGGTGGGCGCCGCCTCGCCCCCCAGCCTCCAGGGGAGGGGTGCGGCCCCCACGGCAGTCTTCCAGCCGGCCGTCAGTGGCCTGGCCCTCCCCTCCCTGGCCTGTCTTCTCTCTCCGGGGTGGAGGAGCCTCTGGCCCCAGGAGGGTTCCTTCCCTCGAGACTCCCCAGGGGCTCTCTGCCTGTGCATTTTGCAGTCAGCACAGAAGTGACTGAAAGGGGGCATTCTCCCAAGCGTTCCTATGAGGACCTCCCCGAGGCAGGTGCTGCGGGGAGCCATGGCTGGCCTGGCCTCCTGTCCAGGGGCCAGGTCCTTCTGCCAGCCTTCAGGGTGGACAGGCGGACTAGTCCTTGGCATCCTAATACCTGGCGATTTTTATAAATCATAAAGTCAGCTCGGGTCCCGCCAGCCCTTGTGGCCAAGGACCCCTCGGATGGGTGCGGAAGGGTGTGGAGGGCTGCTGAGGCAGCGGGTGGCAGTTTGCCAGTTATCTTACTGCCAGTGATTCTGGCATTTGGTGAGTTTTGAGCCAGTCTGTTAAATTTTTCACGAAGTCTTGTTTATAATAAAAACACAAATGGATTTTAAACTTGCCATTTTTAAAAGTTGCCCCGTTCTTCGAAGGTGTTGCCTAATCAGATGTTTACTAGAGAATTTAAACTCAATGGAAGCGATTACTACACAGCAGAGTCGCCAGGTCTTGAGAGGGATCTCGGGGGCAGGGGCGGCAGGCACGGGTCTGGGGAGCAAACAGACGGGGCTGGGGGCTCCCGCGAGCGGGAGGGGTCGCCATGCTGGCCGCTCGGTGGGGCACTCCTGGCCCTAGGGCTTAGCACTGGCTAAGCGGAGCGTCTCTGGACACCCTGGTTCTGTGCGAGGGGAGAGTCCTCAAACCACCTGTGCCCCTCGCTTCCAGAGCTCCACTGGCTCTGACGCTCCCCAAGGGCGGCGTCCGTGCTGAGCAGGTGTAGTTCATCCGTGCCGCAGTTTTTAAGGGCTTCCTGTCCAGGCTTGAGAACTGACTGCAGAGTTTTGGGGGACCTCTTCCCCCCTCCCCCTGAGGTCAGCTTGTGAGTGTTCACCATTTCCACTTCTCTTGTGTTGGAAAGCAGAGCTGCTCCAGGGCCCAGAACTGCAGGGCAGGCTTTCGGGGGAAAGGGCCGGGTTAAGTAGGCTGGCCACGCGCAGAAAGTGGAAGCGGCTTTGGAAACACTCGTGCGGTGACCCCTGGAGGCCCGGGGCGGGCTTCGGGTGTTAACTGAACTCCAGAGACCCTCGCTCACTCATCTTGCGTACAGACTGTTGACACACGTTTTCTTTTTTGTTTGTTTGCTTTTGTTTTTGTTCTTTTGCAGCGTTCACATCTTTTATCAGCGTCCTTTGGGAAAAGCCATCACCCACGATAAAAAGATTTGTCACACCCAGTGTAGCGCTGTTCCTCCATACTGGCGCAGCACTTCCAGGAAGCTTCCTTTTTTGTATTTAAAGCGTTACTTTTCTGTACGACGTGCATGCAAGTTGACCGTAACTTTTCTTAACCTTTTTAGTGCCGTTCCTAGTATATTCCTGTAAATGTCAGTTACTGAAAATGAGTCCAATGTAAGTAGTGTTAGCTTGTTTATTGCAATGCTGGCCTCAACACAACAGAATAAAAATGGTAGAAAGTACTCTTTGATGTTTCTGGTAACCATGGACCCTTCTCCTGGGGCATTTGTTTTGTTTTCATAATAAAAGAAAGAAAAAAAGAGGCACCTGGATGTTCCTTTTCCCGTGCTCTCTGGCCTCCCTTCTCCCCTCACCAGCGCGGACGACGGGATGCAGCCCTGGTTCTCACATCCCTCAGCTCCTGGCAGGAACACCTGAAGCATCAGAAGGACGTTTTAAGAGGTCGTGGCTGTGGTCCTCTGCCCAGCGGGGAGGCCCGGGGTTGAGGGCCCCGGGTCTAGGGGTGTGACTCTGCACGAGCCACCTGCCTTCGCAGACGTGCAGGATAGGGCGTCTGTGTCCCCGCTGCACCCTCTGTCCGCGCCCAGGCGGTTTCTGAGACTAGAGGCATCTAACACTCGCCTGGCTGGCCCAGACATCCCCATAGAGCCCTGTCAAGCTGGTGGGCACGCTGGGTCCCCCCACCACATGGGACCCCGCACACGGTGGAGGCATCAGTGAAGGATGAGGGGCGGTGGAGACAAATGCGAGTTCTGACACTGTTTCCAAAGCAGTCAGGCTGCGTGAGCCAAGCCTGGCAGAACCGCCCTGGAGGAGAGGGCTCTGCCCAAGTCCAGGCCCTAGGCCGCCCTCCTCCGGCACCTCACTGCATTCCCTCGGGGGCACACGTCACCTGGCTCAGACCCCTGGCCCTCTCTTACCCAGCCCAAGCTCCCCTAGAACGGGGACTGGCTGGGCCGTGTCCACCTCAGCCGGGGAGGCCAGCCACCCAGGCCCCCTGACGCAGATGGGCCCTCCCTGCATGTTAAGCTGCTTAGCGCCAGCTGTCTGCGGGCCCGGGGCCACGGCAGTCACCTGTGCGTACGACCAGGGCTTGCTTTCCTGGCTGCCGCCCTCTGCGTGGGGCTGCCCCGGCCACGGCACGTCTAGGTTAGTCTAGTGCGCCGTACAGAGGCGCTGCAGGTACGCTTGAGTTCGCTTTCTTCCCAAACAGGGCTCAAGTTGAAGGACAGCAGAGATGCTGACAAGGCCTGTCTACTGGGGAGTTCCACTGACTCTGTAGATGCACCAGGCCATCCTCTTCAGCTCCGGGAGGCACTGAAGGACATGTGACTTCCAGCCTTCTGACCTAAGGCAGCACGCAAGAGGGGGCTCTCAGCCAGATGTCCCCTGGCTGGATGTCTGATCGGGGGGGATGCTGTCTGCTAGCTGACTTGCACACCGGCCCAAAGAACCACACACGGTGAAGCTCCAGATGCACCGTGTGCGTGGCCAGCAGGAAGGCCTCTGCCCACCAGGAGCACGGCCACCCAGCCGTTCAAAGCGTGATGGAAATGCCCTGCCTGTACGGCTGAGCGAGGAAAACAGTGGCAGGACAAGCAGCACACACGCCCTCCCCGCCGCTGACCGTGCTGCCTCTGGGGAGGACGCTGGGATTTGCCTCTTGTATTTCCTTGTTGGGGTTTTCAGCAATCTTTAGGTGTTACTGTTAGGAAAAAGCTGAAAGCCAAGTGACCACGGACAAGCACATAAAAATAAGGAGTGAGGCAGGAAGGGGCCCCTAAAGATGTATTTAGCAAAGAAGACTTGACTTCGACAAAAGATCCTTCCACACTGGCCTTGCCACGTGGGCTTTAATTCCAGCAGGCAGCAGAGCCTTTCAAAATGACGTGGAAAACCGTCCAAGGGGGGCCGAGGCTGCCGGTGTGTGGTAATGACCAACACACAATGACCAACGCTCAGGGCAAGGAGGCTGAAATACTGTCAGCTGAGAACCTGCCTTTTGAAGCGCTGTGATTAAATTTGAAATCCCTGTAAGCAACTGGTGTGTAACTTAATGGATTTGGGGTTTCCCTGATGTTTTTTGGATGCATTTGCCCTCAAGTCTCAAGTATTAGGAGGCCAGTATAGAAGCTACATACACGATGCATCACACGCAATCAGTTTCACAATTAGAATCAAAATTCAAGGGCCACAAAGTTCCCGGTGAAATGCCACAGCTGCTGACCATTTAAGGGAAGTCCACCTTGGTCCTGCAAGTGGGTTTTCGACCACACATGATGCCAGTTCCACCCCGTTTCTAGCTCTGACCCATTCTTTACCAGGCAGAAGTGAATCCTAAAAACCACCTCTGAGTATGTGGAAGGGCTGTCTGCAACTGCGGCGTCACTCTTGCTTGATTTCTTTGGAAGCATAACCAAAGCTGCATCTAGAGTGCCCCAGGCTGGGCTGTGCCTGCAGCGCCTGGGAGGTCAGAAGGAGCCCGGAAGCCCAGTCCCCCAGCCCCCTGACTGCTCGCGGGCTGGGGCACCATCTCCGAGATTCTTGGGTCCCTCCACTACATCTCAGTCTTGTTCACTGTTCAAAACCTCCCGGTAAGGACTAGGAGTCAGCAAGACAGCTTGGAGCCTGGGACCGGTTTTTCACCCCAGAATCACATAATCGTGCAGAACTTGGACTGCCCCGTGTCCCGGGAGACCTCGAGCTTGTTTCTGTCCCGGACTAGGATGGCCTCGTTTCCGTACTGTGAGTACCACATGCTTCGGCTCCTGCTCAGGTACGTCCCCGGCGGCACAGATTCCAACTTCTGCTGCTGCTGCTGCCAGATCAGCAAGGACGTGTCCCGGTACCGGAGCCGGGCGTAGCCTTCAGACAGGGCTTTCTCCGCCAGTGGGACGCGGCCGCTCATCACGGGCCGGAGCCTTCCCTCTCCTGGGCTCCCGTGGACCAGGCCCCTCTGAGCCAGTCCTCGTGGACAGCCGCCAGCTGCTTTGCACTAAATGCACATGCTTCTCAGCTCTTGAGTTTGAGGATTCCTTACTTAACTTAATGGTGGAAATGAGAAATTCAGGCCACTCGGAGGCCACACCCTTATGTGAGTTCTTTGCAAGGAAACTTGAGAGGCACCTCCGAGCATTCTGAAAAGACACCTAAGAACCACACGTGAGACAGCAAGCAGGTCACCGGCGCCCCGGCCGCAGCGTTTCCCCGGGACGGCTGTGTGCGTGTCACTAGCTGTGGAGTGGACAGGGGACACGTGCCAGGTGTCTGCTGCGATTCTGACAGCGCGGCTTGGAGCACCTCATCTGAAAAGACGAACCTAGTGTCCCCAGTGAAACGGCCCCGTACAAGGAGACGGAAACTGACAGCAGCCCCTCTCAGGGCTCCCCGCTCGGCTTTCAACTCAGCAGAGGTGTGCTGACACCGGTCATGGTTTTGGAACCAGCATTTGTCCAGTGCTTTTTTTTTTTCTGGCTAGTCTTCAACTCTTCCCGGAGGTGATGCTGCAAACAAACAAACGTGCTGTCAGGTGTTGGGGAGAAAAGGGCCCCAACAGCAGTGGCAGAATCGCTCTTAACTCTGGGGGTCAGAGCGTCAGGCCACGCTGCCACCGCGCGTCGCTTCTGCAGTCGCGCGCGCCCTGGGGATGCGCACAGGGGGCCTGGGCTTAAGAGGCAGACCTGCGCCTCAGCCCAGGCCTTCCACTAACTAAGCGGGGGCGCGGGGTGGGGGGGGCGGCGATCCCGGGGAAACCGCCCGTTGGGGCGTTAATGTCCAGACCTACGACGGAGGTCCCAAGAGCCCGACGGGACACGGGTTCGGGGGCCCGACCTGCCC